TCTCACCCAGTCCAGATGGGAGCCGATGGGGGCTGGGAGGAGGGACCATGGGAGTTTGGCTGGCCGCAGGAAGTTGGCTGTGGGAGCACACTGACCACCAGGGAGCAAGCTCCTGTGCTGAGTGTCATAAAGGTTGTTCAGTCATAAAGGTCACTTAAGCTTTTATATATATGTAGATAGGCAAATTCATAAAGACAGAGACTATAGATTAGAGGTTACTAGGGGCAGGGAAAATGGGACATTACTGCCTAACTCGTATAGATTTTCTGTTTCGGGTGATGCAAAATGTCTAGAAATAAATATTGGTAATGGTCGCACTACAATGTGAATGTATTAAATGCTATTGAGTTACACACTTAAAAATGGTAAATTGCATGTATGTATATTTTACAATAAAACACTTCAAAATATTTTTCACTGCAATATCATCCTATTATAATAAAAGCCTAATATGCTAAGTGTCTGGTCGTCCATTCAACCAATCAAAGCATAATATGCTAATGATATGCTAAGGCCACTCAACCACTCACTATGACGTGCACTGACCACCAGGGGACAGACACTCGGACCTGTAGGTAGCTTGCTGCTGGGGTCTGGCAGATAGGGACTGAGTGAGACGGGCCAAAACACCCTTCCACGATCCCTCCCTGGCTGGCCAACCTCCCATGTCTTTCCCTTTCTCCAATCGTGCATTGGTGGGGTCCCTTGGCCTGACCTGTACCCTCTAGCAATCCGGGACCCCTCGGGGGATGTCGGAAAGCAAGTTTTAGCCTGATCCCACAGGCCAGGCTGAGGGACCCCACTGGTGCATGAATTCGTGCACCGAGCCTCTAGTTATTTATAAACAAATAAACAACTTAATGTTTATACATGGAGAAAAATGGATAAATCATGATGTGCATGAACAAAGTTGTGTATATACTCGAAACAATAGTGAATAAAGAGATGCTGAAGCTCTATTATGTGTAAGAAGCAGATGAGTGTCTACAGACAGTCCTCGGGTTACGATGGACTCAACATACGTTGTTTCGTGGTTATGTCGCCATCTCCCATTTATTTATAAAAAGAAAAAAAGTTCCATCATTTTGATGTATATACGTATGTGCTTTATGTTTTTTATTATTTATTTACCACAAGTAAAGGTCAGGAATTGTTATCTTTCTTTTACATTTTTTTTTACTGTTTCACTTCATTACTGCTGTGTATGTGCTCGATGTGAGTGACATAGGTGGGTTCCGACTTATGGCGAAAATCGCGTTATGTCATGCCTTAGGAACGGATCTTCTACATAACCTGAGGACCTACTGTATTGTACATTCCCATTTCTTAAGCTTAAAATTTTGAAATAATAAAATACACAAAAGAAATATTTTCTATTGACATAGATATCATCTATATGAAACCCAGATAAAATTTAATATTCCTAGTTACAAAGGCCAATTGAAATGAGATGAAGCACTGTCTCTTAATGAAATTATCAACATATGCAGACATAGATGGACAAACATTCACTTTGTCTCTTGTACTCTAAGATCACTGCTTTTGAATCACAGGACTTCAGAAATGAAAAGCATGCACGTTTCAAAGAAATAAACCAAAACCTCAGAAGTAACTTAACACTCCCAAGATCAAAGAGCTTAAAGCTGAAAACAGCATCAAGGGCTGTAATATAGGACTTCTGGCTCCTGCACCTGTCTTTCTGGGTGCTAGGTCGATTTTAATGAACGATATGAAAATTAATGTGACTGTGTAAAGCTCCTAGCAAGAACACTGCTATGTGATGACTAATCAAAAGAACCATAAATAAAAACCAAATGGCAGAGAAAGAAGAAAAATATTTTATAATGAAATATGTATACATTTTCTACTACACCTGAAATCTCAGGAAAATTAACAAGCTGTAAGAAATGAGAGTAAGGATCAAAATAGTAATTATTTATAGACTAGGGGCCCGGTGCACAAAATTCGTGCACTAGGAGGCGGGGGAGGCCTCTCAGCCCGATCTGCACCCTCTCCAATCTGGGAGCCTTCAGGGGAGCCCTCTCCAATCCAGGAGTTTCTGTGTCTTTGCAATCATATGAACAAATTGTCTGAGACCTCCAACCCAGTTTGGTTTGTTGCTCACAGAATAATAGAGGCATTTTTTTTTTTTTTTTTTTTTTTTTTTC